GCATTGTAAATTTTGGTCAATGACATGAGACAAAGTATATGTGAACTGCTGTATGAAAAGTGAATTTACTCTGTAAATCTTCACCCAAATCCTAATAGAAAGAAAAGAATGAGTGGGGAGAAAGTACAGGAGAAAATATTTTTATTCTTCTAGAATCAAGTGTATGCCCATTAATATATGCTGTTCCTAAACTGTAGGGTTAAGGTATAGGAAAGAGTAGGTATTATTGTTGCAACTGGACGTTCTAACTGTTGTTACCTTCCAGACTCCTGTAAGTGGGTCTCTTCACACATTATTTCCAAATCTTAGCTTCTACTACGTGCCAAGCACTGGGCTAGGAACGAGGAATACAACGCAAAAGACATACACAGCGCCTGTTCTCCCTGGTTTACAAATTCTTTGAGGGTTACATATAAGGCGGTGATCACAATAGTGCAGGGGTTCACCATCCTCACCAAGCATTAGTCACCCAGGAAGTTGTTTTACCTATGTGCACTCCAGATGAATTGAATCCATTTCTGGGAATGGGGCCTAGGTCTTGGTAGTTTTTAAGTTCCCTAGGTGATGCTGATACTCTGTGAGAACTAGATTGTGTTATGTGCCTTAGTGCAATGTGAAACACATAAAGGAGGCACTCAAACTATATTAGGAAGACAGGAAAGCTAAGAAAAGTGAGTTTGGCAGAGAATTGAAGGATGATTAGCAACTGGCCAGGTGAACAGGGGTGCCTGTGTGTACTGGGGGGTGGGCAAGGAAGCTTGGGAGCTACATTCTCACTCATTGCCATTGAGTAGGATCCAACTCATAGTGACCCATCCTTGGGTTTCTGAGTCAGTATCTCTACGGTGCCCAACCTTCCTTCCGAGGAGTGGCTGGTGTGTTTGAACTGCCAACCACTGGTTAGCAGTCAATACCTTAGGCACTACACAGTGGAAGAAATAAAAACGTACAAAGTTCTAGGGATAAGAAAGAATTATTTGTGGAGAATTAAAAGCTCAACCTGACTGTAAAGTTCCGTTTATGTCTGGGGGTGTAGAGGGTACCAAGGAGAGAGTTTAAAGAAGATAGTAAATCCTGACTACCCTATAAATCCAATAAGGCAGTTTAAAATATATCCTGTGAGGCTATGGAAAGCCATGGAAGTGTTCAGGCAAAACCTTCAATTAATAAGCAGAGAGCTCAGAAGTAAAAAATAAGCTTATAAGTAAATCCTAGGTTTGTTTTCCATGAAAATGTTACTATTAACTTCTTAACAGTAAATGTTGAATTCATTTTAACAAAATCATCTTCACATATCAGGAAATGATAGACTTCACAATAATATATCTATAAAGTTCTCTGACCCAGTTACAGAATCTCCTACACAAAGAATTTCTCCAGCACATATATCTTTACTATCTCTGTCTTTTACAAAAATCTTGTTTTGTATGAATCATATGATGTCAGGTAAGATGTGCCCTGAAAAGCCAGGCGCTGGCAGGTGAAGAATATCTCAAGACCAGGGCAATCAAGGCAAGCGTATCTCTTGTGAGCAGATAAATGAGGCCAGCAAGGAATGGAAAACAAGACTGGTTCTAGGAAAAGGGCACAAAACACCTTTAGCCTGGTACTTCTGACCTCACTTCAGTATACAATAAGGATAGTGCACTATTTAGGTTAAATATTAACAGAGTAATTTTTATGAATTTGAACTTTACTTCTACACTGGAAAAATTTGGCTCCAATTCCATAACATGATCTTGTTAGAAAAAAATGTGGCTAATTCCTTAGGAACACGGGATTTACACGTTTCTAATTTTTATTGAGTTACCATCAAGTGCACTAATTTAACAATATAAAGGAGGCTGACAGTAATTTTTATTACTACAAATGTGTCTGGGAGCGCTGGTAGCATAGTGCCTAAGGCACTTGACTGCT